TGACAAGACTTATTTTTGAAGTAGACTTAGGATAAACACATTGAAGATAATTTTCCTGCCCGGCACTTTGGAAACGCTTTCCAAGGAGAACTCTCTTGATCCAAACGTTGCGGTAAGTCCGGAGAAGCAGCTTTCCTCGCCGCGGACATGCAAACCTGGTGAATATATTACACAGCACATCCGAAATCAAACATGCAAACATTTGCACCAGTTTTTCGGAGCAAAAGTTCTAACAAACGCGAAACAAATATTTTAGCTGTCTTGGGCTTTGAAATAACTTTCGAAAGAGATACTTTTTGCATCAATCCGTTGGGTACTTTCCGAGAAATGGCTTTCAAGCGAGTTAGAAATTAGAGTCTTGGCGCTTTTCATAGAAGGGAATACATGACTTCTGTTAAATTTTTAACGTTGGAGAAGCATGTATAATTTTCCCACCCTGTGAGCGCTTTGAAAATATCTCCAATGCTAACAGTGTGGTATACATGTAGTTCAAAACAAACTTATTTTCTCTTAACCCGCCAGATTTTCAATTTCCTATTTACTATAGTAGTCGCGACCCGATGACACTTGGCCATTGCCTGCGCGATCATGGGACCGAGACTAAAAATAATTTTGACAGCTTGATGCGAAGCTTAAAATAGATTGAAAAAGATTATCATAGGGCACGGGGATGTGTCCTCTCACCTCAATATCTTTTGATGGATTACAAAAGCTTATCTCAAGCAAGCATCCCGCGGTCAGCTATCATGGAACTCAAATTATCAGTGAACGTCAATCTACCTGAACAACAACGTTCATCCCTGACGAATCCTTCTTTGTAAGAACAGCTATAAGAACCAACAGTGTTGGTACGGTTCGCATTCATGTGGAAGTCATCGCTTCCATTAATTACTGCATTCGTCGATATCTACAATAACAAGAGATATATATGAAGTACGCCTTTCAGCTTTCACGGAACTTAAACTATCAGTTACTACGATACAAAGGAAAGTTGATATACCTGAGCATGAACGCCCTTCTTCAGCAAATCTTTTTTAGCAAGAACAGCTGTGAGAACCAACAATGTTGGTGCAGTTCGCATTCACGTCGCATTCATGGTTTTCATTGCCGCACGCATCCATATAATAATATGGGATCAGCCAAATGGAGCAGATTTCAATTCAGCGTCGAAAAACAAGAACCCCGGTAATTCCTTTAGAAATCACAATATCCTGCGTAGTTTGGCTGTTTTTAAGCAATTTGAGCGCGCTAAGAAAGCAGCCAAGCCGCGATAACGAGCGCCAAAGCCGCGTTTAAGAGAGGCGAAGCCGCACGGAGCCTGGGAGAGAGACAATTCGCCGCTCGGTTTCGCGACTTCGCCAATTTGTGCGCTCACGCTCAAATTGCTTAAAAAATTGCTTAAACCGCCAAGCTAAGCAGGCTAAAATCACAAAGGACACAGGCAGTTTAGCAAACCGGCCAAAACTCGAAGCAAATACGCCAAAGATAAGCCCACGTTACGTGTGCTTTTTAAGGCCAAATTCGTCGACCTTTTCACTCCATAGTCATATATAACAAAAAAATGAATAACAAGAACCACTCAAATTCAAAAGCTTAGACACTTATTTGGAGAAGCACTTTGACGGAATAATCCAAAAAAACTATCTAGTATTTTTTGTAAAATTAAATTGGGGGAAAATGTGCCAAAAATGAATTTTCCACCTTGTATAGCCTCCCCCACATGAAAAAACCGCTTGTAGATCAGGTTAACATTTATCAGCTACTCTCATTGAACTTACCTAATCTATCAACGGGTTCCTTTACTGAGAATCGTTTTTTTAAGAAAGTCCATTTCAGGTGAGTTTTATTTCCATGGCTTAATGGAGTCTTTACGCAGTTCAACATGGACGACAGTCAAACGACTGCATTTAAGCCTGGGGCGGGAAACTCCAATATGACAAGGACTACCAGCCGCTGTT